ACCAGTAGTTGTAAGTTCTTAACCTAATGGCTCCTCTGCTTCCTATCATTCAGGACAATCCACCTTACTCAGAACATGACAATAATATATTCTTGTTTTTTAAGCTATTTTGGACTGTCTTTTGTAATTCACTAAATCAGTTTGGGCATGTATTTTAATTCCTACTCACCCCCTTTTAGCTACCATGAACAGCAAAAACTGAATTGTTTGAGCTTTTCAGTAGAGTTCCTGCTCTTAATTTAGCATGCTATTAAGAAAGCAGTTCAATGATGACATGTTACACAGGGTCTCCAGTAGATTAATGTTGCTACTTGTGATACAAAGTTTCCCCATTGAAGGAAGGTAAGACTATTCCTTAAAATCACATTTGTTATTCTTAAGAAAAAGTAGGCCCAAGTGCAACACAAACCAGGCAAATAAACACCCCACCCCCCAAAGCTCAACCTTGCAGTGATAAATTTTGAAGCACAGATGTTCATCGTGATGCTCCCCCAAGAAGGCCAAAATGCAGGCAGCTGTGTTAACTCCTGTTACTAATTCTAGTAATTTTAATTTCAAGAGGCACAGATCTTCTATAAAGCTACTGGGTTAATTGCCCATTCAAGACTAGCTGAGCTCCCACTGCATTATAACAGTTGCTTTACTACCCTGTTCCTAAGAAAACTCGTATCTTCCTTTGTGAGGATTGTAGCAAAACTCAAGAGGAGAAAATTCTGAAGGGGATGAGAAATAGCTTTCCTAATAGATATCTATATGATTGTTCAGATAATTGGAAGGCATGCTGGTTGTACTTCAATCAGCAGACGACTTGGAAGGAGGCTTTCTTCATGCTGGCAGCCACCTTATGGAATACCTTCTTTCCTTATATTCAGAAATGCCAACTGTGGCATGTTTTGGGCACCCATTAAAGCCCCATTTCTCTACTACTGCCTTCTGTGAATGGTTGTGCTGGCCTGTTAGACTGCTGCTTATTCTTCTAAATATTTTAGTTGATTAGTTTTTGTACTTATGATGTGTTTTACCATTCTGATGTCTTGTGATATGGTAAGCAAAAATCCAACATTGTCTGTTAGGCCAGGCTCTTCTACACCAGAGAAGTATGTATACACATATCAGGTTCCTTCCCCCTCTTCAGAGGCATACCTAGAATGCTGATTACCTCCCAGTAAGTGTGGTAAAATGTTTCCATATGCCTGGACCAATATTAAAGTTTATGTAAGAAATAGGAATCAGTATCTGCCCACAATTATGCTACACTTCCATTCCCTGTACCTATCATACACTCTGAGAATCAATGTCTTGAGAAGATGCTTGGATTGCACTGGTGTACCCAAAGGAAATAAAAGCATTCTGTCCTCATACATACGAATGGATTCATGTATTTATGTACTACTGCCCACACTGTTGGCTAGTTGTTTTGTAGGAGAAAGATGAAAAACTATCGTGCTATACATATCCATTATGATACACTACAGAAGGATGAAGTCAGCGCAGAGCTTTGTTAAGTGTTTGGTTGGGTCTCATTCCTCCGTTACAGTACTGTAAGAGAAAGTTAGAGTTTCTCTTCATTTCAGTTTCTCATTCATTTATGTGATAACAGAAAATTAGACTTGCTTTTCGTCATTTAAAAAAAAAAAGGAAAGCCATTTTACTAGTTTCACAATAGGAGTGCACCAAGAAATTGGGTTAAAACAGATCTGAGAAGACATGAATTAAATCAAAGATAACTTTATATACTTATATCAAATGGTAATACAGCTGTGGAATTTGGGGGGAGGGGAGACCATTAAAAATGAAAGATCAATACACCCCACCTCCCTCAATGACATTACATACAAAAACTGTTCCCTAGACTGTCTCACCAGAGAAAGGCAAGTTGCTTACCTGTAACAGTCGTTCTTCAAGTGGCCATCTGTGCATTCACACATTATGGGTGCTACGCCTGTGCAGTGCCTGTTGCCAGAATGATTAACAGCTTTAATGGTTTTGGCAGGAACTCCGCACCCCCCACCCACCCGTAGTATAAATGGGCAGAGTGCCCACCATTTCTCCAGTCTACTGAAGACCACCTGTTCGCCCCCAGGTGGAGCTTAGTAAATTAGATACTCGACAGAAAGGTATCAAGACAGAATAGCTGTCAGAAAGAAACAGTAGGATAGCTATGGACGTGTGAGCATGTGTGTACAGCTATCTACATCAGATGTATAAAATAAGGCCATTTCTGTAAACCCAGTCACTGACACCGAGTTCCCGCCAAAACCATTAAAGCTGTTTAATCTTCCTGACAACAGGCACCGCACACATGTGTGATGCACAGAGGCCACGATGAAGAACCTTCTTTACTCTCAAGATACAGTCATTACAAAAACAGGATCATAACTTTAAAAATACATCAAGTTCACAGTAAAGTGCCAACATCATGAGGTGAAAATTGTGGTGTATTACAGAAGATTGTGATTCTGGGGAAAAGCTAAGACCAAAAAAATAAAGCCAGTAACATGTAGGTAGCTTCTATATGGAGTGTTTTTGTTCAGTTACTCACAGCAGCAAAGAGAAGGAATTTCAACCTTGGAATAAATTGGTATATATTTAAATACCTATGTATGAAATATTCACACAGCAATATAGTAGCTTCATACTAGGTCATCTTCCCCAAGTGCTACAAAATGAGTTCTGGAGTTGAAACTCTTCTATAACTTTTAGAAGACCAATTACAAAAAGAATAAACTACAAGCCATTCCTTGCCCAAAGTGAATTGTGACTTCAAAACAAGCAGACAGAACTGCAAAAGGGAGGAAAAATCAGTCAATTACAAGTATCTAATGTCACTGATATATAGATTTTTAACAGAAATGGAAGAACTTTTCAATGCCTCCAAAAAGGTCTCCAACCATACTAAACAATTCAGCAAAAATTGGCTACATATACAGCAATAGCCTAAGAAAATGGAGAGGAGAAAAGAAATGGACCAAATTAATAAACCATTTACATCAGTTTTCTGTTCTCCTCTCTGGAGGTTCAGAAGAATATAGAACATTATAGCATCATCTTTCCTCAACTGTTACTCTCAGCCTGTGACATAGAAGAGATGCAGAAACCCAGCATTTTACTTATACAGGCCAATTACCATAAATTCATACATGCACAAACAGGTAGGAAATGTTTGGGACAGAGCAATAACCTAGGACAAGTTGCATTTAATTGAAAGGGGAGGGGGGGGAAGCACAATGCTTCCAAAATAATGGCTTCCTCCCACCTGCCAAAGGCTAAACAAATGTTGCAGAACAGCCTAGGTGGAGCCTTACCCATCTGCCAGCTCAAGACTGAAGTGCCTGAGGTTTGGGTAAGTGAACGAACGAACATCACCATCCACAGGGCACCACACCAAAGTATTGCTGGGGCACCTGAAACCCTAACTCAAAACAGCCTCTCCTGACCAGCTTCAAAGGCAGGTGAGTTCATTACAAGTCTGGCTATACTAGCCATTAAGAGATCCATCATCCTTTTATATGGAAAAAAAAATCCTTCACTGATGTCCAATTCTTTGTTGCATGCATCACATTGAAACTCATGTTAATTCTAACATCACTTGAAAAATGAATTCCTTTTATTTTAAATCTGTTTACTAGAGGTTTTAATGCTTTTATTTTTACAAATTAGTATCCATTTGAACTTTATATTGTTGTTGGTCTCAAATACTCACCTCACTAAATAGCCATAGTAAGAAGTAATGGTATTAGTAGAAAACATTACTCATTCTGTAGGCTCCAAACTGGAGACTTGCTAAAGTGAAACCCAGCACAGTCAGCCTCTGTGTTGAACTACAGAGGAGTGAACCAAGGATATACATAACCATGGTTAGATCAGGAAATGTTAAGAGACTGGGAAATGTTTTGTCTACACCAAAGCTTATCTATTTCAAGTATTTAAATAGTTATTGCATCACCAGTTTTCTTGCATAGCACCAATTGTAGTCTGTGCATAAAATGGCATTAAGGTCTAATCTTGCACCATGATTATTTAAAAGACATTTGCTCTATTATCTGCATTTAGGAAAGCCTTTATATAAATGATTTTCAAAATACAGATGCTTTTAAAAATAATTACATTTTTTTTTTAAAAATGGACAACTCCTAAATCATTTTGCTTCACTGATGTAAAATAATTTTAAATTTTTAACTGAAGGCAAGTCCTTACTATTTTATTCACTACTGATTGGAGCTAGAGGCAAGAAAAGCAAAGCATAAAATAAGAAATGGAAATTAATAGTACAATTAACTTATTGGGATCCAACCCAGTAGATAGGAGAGTGATGGGAGAAGATCCTTCTTTCTTATAACTTAAGCCAATTTGATTCTGTGGGTTGAATCTACAACAGTGGTTTGTCAGTTGTGTTCTAGGAAACCCAGTGGTTCCTTAAAGAGTAACTCTAGGTTCCACTGATAGAAGAGCTGGCCAGCTTATCCATCAGTGAGTGAGAGGAGGGAGCGGAAAGAGAATGGGGTGGGGGATGGAACTATGAGTGAGTTGTGTATATTTATAAGTGGGATCTCCATTTAGCCTGGGCTACACCAAGGCACACGAAGCCTGAACAGTACACCTACATATATACCAAAGGATAATTTAAAACCCTATTTAAGGTACAAGGAGAGATGCAGACATTCCTCAGCAGACAAGTCAATGCAGAAATTGGATCATTTAGAAAACAAAGTTTTAAGCTACCACTTTAAAAAAAATGTAAGGTTTCTGTTCAGCTTTTGGTTTAGAATTATCTGGCAGGAATCTGCTCAGTCCTTGGGTCAGCTGCACACTTAGCAGTACTTAAGTTGAAGAACAATATTTCAGTAGCATAACAGCCATCAAGGAATGCATGCATAGTTATCTATTTTGTTGTTTTAACAGAAAGTGCTCACTTACTTTTCAGTTTTAATCTGATTCTGGCATATGACACATTACAACATGCAAGGAAAAGAATACAGTGCCGGATGAAGACACAGACATCGCTGCTTTCATTTTATTATGTGGCAATCCTTGAAAGACAGGCAAATGGGGAAACTGAAATAGAATAGCCCCTACTCACAGAGGAGAGAAAGGACCTTAGGCATAACAGCAGTACAAGTCATCCTCTACAGAGGTGATAAAAAAGCAAGCAAGCAATTGAACTAAGGATGCTTTCAGATGGAACTGTCCTACTATGAACAGTCACAAAGCATTGTGCAGCTATTCCATTTATTTCACAGATATAAGGTGGAAGACACTGCATGAAAATATATGACTATAAATAACCCTATCCAATTCCAGAAATAAGGCAGTGATGGCATGATGAAAACTTCACCTGGAAGCACCCCAAGTTTCTCAGTATATGCAATAGTTGTCTGCACATATGAGCAATCCTGACATGACTTCCATGAACAAACTCAACATGCATAGATATAAATAAGCAATGATTTCCAAAATTGTGATGACCCTTTTCCCAGCCTACATATAAATGGAAATTTGCTCTTTACCATATCAATGATCCCCTGGATCTGATGTGATGTTTGAACACATGAACTTTTGCTTGAGAAACAACTTAATTACAAAATGCAAGATATTGTAAGAGGCTGCATTGGCCTTTAAGTGGCAGGTTTTAATACTGTCTATTATTAAAGCTACAGAAGTTCTAATCAAGTAGTGCAATTATCTCTAGATCCAGAATAGGCTGCTTCCATAAACCTGATCTACAGGATGGCCTAAAGTTATGCCACCAACTCTAATATATAGCCTTTGAAACATTTAAACCACCATGAGTTTCATTCTCCCATTTTGTAAATATTCAAATGTGTGCATAATATGTATTTTCAAGAGTGCTTGATGCATTGCACATACATTTAGAGCAAAAAAATATTTTTAAATTGCTGCTGAGGAAAATGTTTCCAAATATACATAAAATGGCACACTGGTACTTGTGTTTGAGGAGAAAGAATGGGCAACAGGTTCTATAGACCTGCTAAGAAATATCTGTCTCTGCATAGCAATTACAATTACTTGGAGTCTATAAACAAATACTTTATATACTAAGAACCAAGTTCCATATATAGAAATCTTTCAAAGAGGATGTATTTTCATAGCAATTCTCCAGTAAAACCAAGGAGCAGTGACTTTCTAAAAGGAACAGAGCACACATAACAGAACATTATAAACAAAGCAAAAGCAAAATTGACTATATTAAATCTGGTTCCTGTTCAGGAGATGTTTAGTTTGCTTCTTCAGCTTGGATTGGAGGAATTTTGCTGGATATCAGGGTGTACACATAAGGCCAGATTTTGTTTGTCTCAGTCCCAGAAAAGGAGTGTAGGATCCCTCTGTTTCTGAAAAGTGGAACAGAAATCTATATAAGCAAATTAAAGTTTAAAAAAAAACCCTGTTGCTATAATCTCTAGTTAAGGCACTGGAGTTGGAGGCACTGCTTTGCGGTGGTTCCACTCCTACCTGACTGGCCGATTTGCGAAGGTGGTGCTGGGAGATTATGGCTCTGTGCCATGGCAACTTTGCCATGGAGTTCTGCAGGGTTCCATTCTATCTCCCATGCTCTTTAACATCTACATGAAACCACTGGGAGAGGTCATCCAATACCCTTAATCAGTGTCTGGCCAGGGTATTGGGCTGGAAGAGGCCCAATAAATTAAAACTTAATCCAGATGAAACAGAGGTCCTGTTGATAGGTGGTTCAGCCTTCCAGGTCAGTGATTTTTGTCCTGTTCTGGATGGAGTTGCAATCCCCCTAAAGGACAGGGTATGCAGCTTAGGAGTGCTCCTCAACCTTTACCTGTCCCTGGAGCACTAGTTGCTGGCAGTGGAAAGGAGCGCTTTCCTTCAGCTTCGGCTGATACATCAGCTGCACTCTTATCGGGATTAGCAGGGCCTGGCCACAGCGACCCATGCTCTAGTAACCTCCCATTTGGACTATTGCAATGCACTCTATGTGGGGCTGCCTTTGAAGATGGTCCAGATACTTCAATTGGTCCAGAATAGAGCTGGCAGGTTAACGGGGACCAGCAGATATTCCCATATCACGCCAGTCCTCTATTGCTTACACTGGCTGCCAATTGAAGTCCAGGCCCAATTTAAGGCCTTAACCTATAAGGCCCTAAATGGCTTGGGTCCTGGATACCTGAAGGAGCGCCTTCTTCCCTATGTGCCAGCCCACCATTTGAGATCTGAGGCAGAGGTCCTACTCCAGGAGTCCTCTTTGAAGGAAATTAGGAGGGTAGCTACTCAGAGAAGGGCCTTTTCAGTGGTGGTGCCCCAACTGTAGAACACACTCCCCAGGGAGGTACACCTGGTGCCACTGCTTTATTCTTTTCGGCGTCAAGTGATGACCTTTTTATTCTCCTAATATTTTAACAGTTGATTGGTTTTATCCTTGTTTTTATCATCATTTGTCGGATGCAGTGTGTTGTGTTGTCGTTGTTATGACTGCTTTGTTTTTGCTTTTTATAAGCTGTCCAGAGACTTTTAGTATTGGGATGGCAAATAAAAACTTTAAATAAGGGAATGAAACAGGGTTAATTCACATTAATTTTTGGTATGTATACTTTTTCTAGTAGGAGTATTCATTTAAAAAAAAAGTAACAAAAATAGCATACACATAAGCATTTCCTCCCATAGAACAGCTATATAGTGGAAACAGATACTTACTTAAACAGTTACTGTTTTTAAAAGAAGGGAGAATTAAACAAGCATGTAAGTAAAGTTTCTTTCCTCCTAAATTCAGTTCTGCTCCATTTAGTTCTGCTGGACAATGACTTCAGGAAACACACGTTGTATTCCATTTTAGCCACAGATTGAGATGTCTTTTAAATACCACAGAAGTAACTTAGCAGTCATTTTCCATAGGTTCTTAATTGTAGAACTGACACATAGAATGAGCCCACGAAAAAATAATTACTGTAAGCCTGCTGTAACACCTAAAGGGAATTCTAGTGGAAGGTCTGGAACAAATTATTCTCACCTTAGTACCCCATCTCCAACATGGGAATAGTTGTGGAAATAGAAATAATGCTGATCATAATATCCTTACCATATTAGAAGTGCTATATAAAATACTAATCAATAACACCAATAGTATCAAAAGCAGACAATAAATACTGTTACTCCAGTTTCATGTCATTAGAATGATTTATATTCTCTTCATGTTCTAAATTGATGATAAATACCAGCATATAGTCAGAATAAACAACCACTGAGACAAACATTCTGAGACCATTCATTACTCTACCATCTGGGAAAAGACTTGGGGTTAAATCCAGTATCACAATAACAGGCATCCACCAGTATGATAAAAATTATGCCCTTTCTTTCATTCTGCTGTCTTCAGCATCACTCAGGACTGCTCCAGACAGTCTTCCCAGCCTTCTAGAGCAGATTTGGAAAGGACAAAGGGTAGGAAAATCACTCCCTGCACACCTTCCAGTCAGTAGAGTAGTGGTTTATTTTGAAGGTTTAATACAGGCACTCATTATGACAGTCTCCATAGTCACACCCCTAAGGAGAGTCTAAAACATCAGGCAAATTTTGACACAGTGGCCCACTACATTCTGATAAGCAAATTAGCAAAAAGTGGACTAAATGGAAAAACTATTAGGTGGATCCAAAATTGGCTGCTGAATTGGACACAAAGAGTGTTCATCAATGGCACCTTCTCAAACTGGAGGGAGGTAACTAGTGGGGTGCCACAGGGTTCAGCCCTAGGCCCAGTGCTCTTCAACATCTGTATTAATGATTTAGATTATACAAAGGTGGGGGTGGGTATAGCACACACCCTAGAAGACAGAATGAAGATCCAGGTAAACTTGATGAATGCTGAGCTGAAAGCAACAGAATGAGATTCAACAGGGACCTTTTTTCCTCCAACTAGGAAAAAAAATCACATGCATCAATACAAAATGGGGAATACATGGGTCTACAGAACTGAAAAAGATCGCAGAGTAATTGTGTAATTGGACAACAGGCTAAATATGAGTCAACAATGCAATGCAGTTACAAAAGGGGAAATGCTATTTTGTGATGCATTAATAGAAGTATTACTTCCAAATCATGAGAATTACTCCTCATTAGTCAGACCTCATATGGAGCACCATGTCCAGCTCTGGGCACCAAGATTTAAGAAAGACGCAGGTAAATTAGAAAGGGTCCAGCATAGGGAGACAAAAATGATCCAGGGTTTGGAAACACTGCTCAATAAGGAGAGACTGAGGGAACTGGGCATGTTCAGCCTTGAGAAGACTGATGTATAAGGACTTCAAAAACTGTCACAAAGAGGAAGGTATATTGGGTATAAAATGTAAAACACGGGGACCATAAATTATTTTAAAACCATGCAATACGAATGATTAATAAAATTATGGATAAAATTAAGTTATGTATGAGCAGTTACTAGAGTGGTTAGGCCTATGGTCAACTGTCTAGGTCATTTAGCCATTGTACAGCAGTACCCTCAAGATAATGTACTTCTTGCAGGGACCCAGGAAACCTTCTGAGGGGGCATTTCATTGTGATGTGGCATAGAGTTTGCAGGACATTTCCCACAGTCCCAGTTAGAGTTGTCAACCAGCTCCCATTTGTGTTTCTAGTACAGGCTTATGCCATGATTACTTTGAATCTGAGCATTGGGGTGCAGTGTAGACTAGCCTCCTCGTGGTGCACCCTGGGCAATGTGACTTGTCACGGCTAATAGTCTACAATTTTGGCTGCTGGACCTCACAAGGATTTCCCAGCAAGAAGCAGCAGCATTAATAAGTGTAATAGACTACCAGTTTTCGAAGATAGCAAGTTGGACCAAAAAAATCCCTTTCGGATTAATTTTAAAATTCTTCTAATCTGCATCATACCTTTTTGTACCATTTTAGTATGTGCTTAGGGGTTAGGGGCTTCAACTCACTTGTACAATTCCATTACAGGCTTTGCAGCATCTTTGTATTTTCTTAGTCTAGCAGCAACAGCTTCAGGTTGATCTTCTTCTCGCTGGATCAATGGCTCACTAGTAATATCATCAATCCCCTGGATAACAAGAATTATGTGACAAAACAAGAATATGTAATAAATCCAGAATTGTGATCACTGTAAGTTGAAAAGTATGAGCTGACTATGCCTATCACTTAAAAAATATATATCACTGGCCCAAAGACCTATGTCTCCATTGTAGAGGTGCTGCCTTGTCACATCACAAAACATCTTCCCAGGACACAGGTGGGAATTTCCCTTTAACAGGTCATATTGTTTAGGAATAGAGAAGAAACATATCCCAGTTCATGTCTCTTACTTCCATCTTCCTAGGATGGAAAAGTGTCCATCAGGTCCCCCATGACAACTTACTGGATATATCAAGCTTCCCTACCACTTGTGACTGGAGGCTTCCCCAACCCCTGAGTCTACAGGAATAGATGTGGGATTTATTCCCTATGCAATTTATCACTTTTGAGGTCAACATTGTGTACTTGATTGAACAACATAGATGACTCTTGTAACTTACACGTAAGTTTTTAACTCTCCAAGGCTTGTATCACAGAAACCTGGCTGGGGGAGATGGGAAATGCCATTATTTCCCAGTTATGCCTACCTGAGTGCAGCACAGTGCAGCACCAGGCTCATCTTGAGGGGCGGGGGAGGGGGGATGGGATAGCCATTGTCTATAGCAGTACTATCTCTATGCTCCCTGTGTACTCAAAGATAGGGCTTGAGTGTTTATACTTAGTTTTGGGCAATCAAGATTTCTTCTTATGTACTGCTCACCTTGCTGCACAATAGGCTCTCTACCTGAGTTCATGTCTTGGAGTTGCTGTTGAGGACCCCCAGAATGGTACTTCTGGGGGATCTCAACCTCCATGCTGAGGCTATTCTCTGGGGAGTAGCTCAGGACTTCATGGTCACCATGATAATCATGGGGCTATCTCAGCAAGTGACCAGCCCAACACATGAAAAAAGACACACTCTCAACCTGGTTTTTCCAACTGGGCAGGAAGATAGTGATCTGGAAGTGGGGGATTTAATGTCATGGTCAAGTTGACATTTAGACTTTTGACTGCTCTCTCCCTCTGCAAGGGTGGGGGACCTATTAAAATGGTCCACCCCAGAGTCTGATGGATCCATTTGGTTTCCAGAAGACCCTGGCTGATATGGTTTGTGCTCCTGTTGAAGCTCAAATTGTTCTATGGAATACAGAAGTGACCCAGCTGTTGACATGATAGTACCTAAGCACCCTCTTCCCAACTGCAGAACTTGTACTCCTCCATGGTATACAGCAGAACTGCAGGCAATGAAGCAATTGAGAAGATGGCTAGAGCACAAGCGGAGGAAAACCTAGGCTGAATCCAACTGACCATGGGGAAGAGCTCATTAGCAAGCCTAACCCATGGTGGTGAAGACAGTGATGCTCTGCCAGCATTGCATCCTCTCGGTGCTGTCCAGCATAGCTATTTCAAGTGGTCCATGGACTTTTACATATTGGTCCTAAAGAAGATCAAATTGAACTTCAGCAGTCCACTATGACAAATCTGCACAGCACTATGAGGATAAAGTCCACATTTGGACTCCACATTTGATGTAGTCCTGTCAGTGGAGACATCCAGTGCACTGTCTAGTCCTACTTTATTGCTTAAGTTTTAATTGCTGAAGCCTGATGATGTGGACAAGGTGTTTGGACAAGTTTGGTCTACCACCTGTGCTCTCAACCCTTGTCTCTTGTGGCTGCTCATCCAAACCAAGGAGGTAATGCAAATGTGGGTCCAGGCAGTTGTGAATGCCTCTTGAAAGGAGGGGCTGGTTCCGTCTCTGTTAAAGGAACCGATCAGAGCCCTCCTGAAGAAGGCAAGCCTGGACCTAGATGATATTGCCAATTATACACTAGTGGCCAACATTCCCTTCTTGGGCAAGGTGTTCAAGCTCCAAGCACTCTTGGAGAAAACAGATAATCTTTTCAGTCTGGTTTCAGGCCTGGTTTTGGGACTGAAATTGCCTTGGTCACCCTGTGGGATGACCTTTGTTGGGCGAAAGATGGGAAGTGTGTCCCTGTTGGTTCTCCTGGACCTCTCAGAGGCTTTAGATAACATCAATCATAGTATACTTCAGGAGAGGCTGGTTGGGTTGGGAATTGGAAGCACTGTTTTGCAGTGGTTCCACTCCTACCTGACTGGCCGATTCCAGAAGGTGTTGCTGGAGGATAGTACCTTGCACCATGGTTTTTACATCATGGAGTTCCATAGGACTTCATCCTATCCCCCATGCTGTTCAACATCTACATGAAAACACTGGGAGGTTTGGGCAGAAGTATGAATCATGAATCATTCAGAACATGAATCATTCAGAGGTTTGGGCAGAAGTATGCTGATGACACTCAGCATACCTTTCATTTATATCCGATCCAGGTGTGGCAGTCAAGATCCTATACTGGTGCCTGTTCAGAGTGATGGACTGGAAGAGGGCTAACAAATTGAAGCTTAATCCAGACCAGATGGTGGTGCTATTTTTAGAGGGCAGCTTGATCCAGGAGGACACTTTCTGCCCTGCCCTGGAATGGGCTGCACCCCAGCTAAAGGACAGAGTGCAGAGCCTGGGAGTGCTCCTCCGTCCCAGAATTCTCCTTAGAGTCTCAGGTGACATCTGTGGCCAGCAGCACCTTCCATCAACTGTGTCTCTATCTGAACAGGCAGAACCTAGCAATGGTAATCCATATACTAGTAACCTTATGTTTAGACTACTACAGTGTACTCTCTGTCGGGCTGCCCTCAAAAACATTACAGAAACTTCATTTGGTACAGAAAAGGGCAGTTCATCTACTGATATAGTTGAGTAGACACAAACATATGCGCTGCACTGCTATATCACCTGCACTGGTTACCAATCGAAGTCCAGGCCCACTTTAAGGTGCTCTAGTGGATATCTAAAGGAGCATCTTCTCCCATATACACCTACCCTTAGATCATATACAGAGGTCTTTCTCTGCGAGCCACCCCTGAAGAAAGTGAAGAGGATGGCTATGAGAGGAAGGGCCTTCTTGGCTGTGGTACCCCACTTGTGGAATCAGCTCCCCAGGGAAATATGCCTAGCACCAATGCTATGTACATTCCAGTGCCAGGTTAAAACTTTTTTATTTTACCACCATTTTAACTGTTGACATTCTAGTTTTATATTGGCTTTTAAATTGCTTGATACATGTAGAATAGTTGTTATTGAGGTATCAGTCATCTATTTTCCTGTTACCTAAAACAAAGATGGGATGTCTTATACTAATTTTAACTTCATCTGAACATTCTGGAGATCCATATAGTTCTGGCATACAAGTGGAAATTGTAGCTTACTCTGTTAGATTAACTGGATATAATCCTGCATTTATTTTTCTGTACACTTTTCTTACTTCTCTCCTACCTTTATCTAATTCATTTTTAAATAAAACCTTTCTAACTGGAATGCTGGAAGTTGGCTGCTTACTTGGAAACACCTTAAGGTAAATCACCTATATTCTTACATAATGTATTATTTCATTACAAACTTCAGCCACATATATTACTTTAAAGACATTGGGGGGGGGGGGGAAGCAGACTTATTGGTAACTGTCATTCATCAATGGTCATCTGCGCATTCACACATATGATGGGCTCTGCACGTATGTGTGGAGCTGTTTCAGGAAGATGAACTTCTTACTGAGCCAGAGCTTGGCCCCTAGACATGTCCAGAATGAGGGGAGGGGCTCCCTCTGAGACCTCAGTTCTGAGCATAAGACCATCCAATAAGTCCTGTTATCTGAAGAGTGGGGTCAGGTTAAGGAGGCCTTTGAGGAATTTCCAAAATGAGTGGATGTGAAAAGACTGAGCAGCCGTGAATTGACATGTGGAATGCAGAGAAGGCAGCTGCATAAATATGGACAGAAGCAGTTTTGAGTCCATTTTTGTATAAGGAATTGAGCAACAGTAGAATTTGGGCAGGAGAAGCAGTGTCTGAAGAAAAACCATTCTTTAAAGTGAAGGTAGAGAAGGCTGATCATTTAGAGTTCTATGATTTCAGCGTGGAAGACTTGAGAGAAGCATCAAGGATGTGTTGAAGTTCAAAAGACAAGTCTATTAGTGGGGAGGATATAGACAGATCCTCCATGCAGAGAGTCTGAAGGTGTTCACATTAGGATGGAAGGCTGTCTTTTGATCCTGACAGATGAGATCAGGTTGGAGGGGAAGGTGAATAAAGATTCTGTTGGGGAGGTCAAGGAGGTGGGGAAACCAGTGCTATCTGGGCACTGGTTATGAGAATGCAGTCCATGGGATCTCAGCAGATCTTTGCTAGAGCCTTCAGAATCAGAGAAAACAGGAGGATCAGAAAGAACAGGTTCCCGTTCCACTGTGGGAGGAAGACCTCCCCCACTGATTTAGTGTCAATGCCTGCTCTGGTACAGAAGTGGCTGCAAACAGTGTTGTGCTGTGTGGCAAAAAGGAATATCTGAGGGATGCTCCATCTGTCCCACAGGGATTGTATCACAGCAATACAATCAATGGGTGAAGTTTTCATTTCACTGACTGTAGGTCCTGCTGAGATTGTCAGCTAGAATGTTGCCAGAACCAGCTACATGGATCACAGAGTGTGACGTGTGGACTGGTGCACCAGTGCCAGATCCTGGTGACAAGAAGAGGAAGGGGACCTGATCTGGTTCTGTGTTGTTTATATAGGCAACTGTGGTGGTGTTGTCTGTAATTATTCTTATATGTCAGTACTAAACTATGGTTTGGAAAGCAAGTAAGGCTGTCCATACAGCTAAAAAGCCTAGAAAGTTTATGTGGCATGAAGCTTCTTGTGGGTCCCATTTGCCTTGGATTGTAGAATGACTGCAGTGGACTCCCCAACCAAACAAGGAGGTGTCTGTGGTTATAGTAAGTTGTGGTTCCCTTGGGAAGAAAGGGACTCTGCAGAGATGCTGAATTTGTCTGTCCACCAATGAAGGAAGTCAAGAATCTGGACTCAAAGTTTGGTAGACTGAGGTTCAGTTCTGATGTTGAATGACACTAGGAACTAGAGCTAAAGGGGTCTCATGTGTAACTGAACCAGTGGGAGAACAGCTATTGATGAGCCCACGAGGCTGAGGACACATTGAATCAGAGTAGTAGTAGCAAAGTGTGTTGATAAGGGTTAGAGTTAGGCAAAAAATGTTGGTGAGGATAGACAGCCACCTTGCCTGGCTTCATAGCTGGTGCAAAAAGCACCACACCAGCTGCTTCTCCAGAGTTGTAAGAGCAATGTTGAAGATGGGGTTAAGGGGAGTTCCCAGGGACAGGGAGGGGAGGAGACTAGTGCTGCCAAGAGACGGCATTTCCTGGCAGTGTGTCAGCTTCCTTTTCTCCCATTCTGAACAAATAGAATAGATAGCCAACGTCCTGTCTGTTGATAGGACGTCTTTTGCTGAGACAAAGTCGAGGTGTGCTCCAATGAAATGGATCAACTGTGTGGGAGAAAGACAAGATTCAGTTGTATTAATGTAGAGGCCAAGCTTATTAAGCAGGTAACACATGAAACTAGTAGCCTGTATGGAGGCTTCTTTGGATGGGGCAACACTGAGCCAGGCGTTTAAATAGGAGTAAGCATGGACCCCACTAAGAGAGAGACTGGTGCAAACAACAGCCCTGCATTTTGTGAATACACAGAGAGTTGTTGCTAGGCCAAATGGCAGAACAGTAAATTAGAACAGTTCACCCCCCACTTGAAAATGGAGGAAGCACCCATAAGACTCCTCAACAGAAATATGAAAGTAAGTATCCTTAAGATCAACAGATATGAACCAAACATCCTAGTGTAGTAATGACAGGATGGACTGGAGCAAGACCATTCTGAATAATTTAGGCTTGATATAACAACTGACACCCCTGAGATCAAGGACAAAGCAAAGGCCTCCATCTTTCTTTGCAACTATAAAGTGCCTGGAATAAAAACCAGGAGTTGCAGGTTGTGCCCACTCTATAGGCCCCTTTTGAAGTAAAGAAGAAATTTCTTCAAGAAGGGCTTCACAGGGAGTGGTCTTCTTTACAGAACTGGGGGAGGAACTGTCTCAAATCTGATACAGTTTCAATGGAGAATGATGGAAAGTACCCAAGAACCTGAAGTGGTGGTAGCCCAAGAATGGAAAAAGGGCTGGAGGCGATAATGAAAGTACAGACTAGATGAGTATACAGGCTGACAAAGGAGTCACAGGTGTCTCCTCAAGTCTTCCTGGCATCTTCAAACCTGCCGCATGCAAGTCATGGGGTCCTGACATCTAGTTTGGGAGGTGAGCCAATGGTGGGTGGTGGAGGAACAAGGATGGTAAGGGTAGGGAAGCCTATGCCACTTATGAGAGGTGTAGGATCTCAAAGGCAGATTCTGATTAAGTCCCCTGAAGCAAGCTGCATTTCTGGCCTTTTGGACTGAGTCCATGTGCTTGTCAGTGCTTTCATGGAAGAGGCCTGCACCACTGAAAGGCATATCCTCAATCCTTGCTTCTGCTTCAACAAAAGGATAAAAGCCAGGCAAGGCAACATAGATTTATTGCTTTTGCCGTGTTTCACATTCTGCTTGATGCCGGGCTGTACGGCTCTCATGTCTAGCCAGGTGAGTAACCTCATTTCTAATCTCATTGGCCAACTCTTGGGCATCTTTGGAGAGCGATGAGCAAAGAGATGCTACTTTGTCTCACAGCATTAGATGGTATCTGACCATAGTGGCTTGGTAGTTTGCCATATTGATGGAGAGAGCTACACAGTGACCAACAGCATCAAGGCATCTGCCCTCTTTGTCTGCTGGAGTAGAGTGTTCTCTTTTGGAACACCCCTGAGAGGATTCTACAATAATAGTTGGCTTGGGGATGTTGAAAAAGAAACGCTGTCTCTCTCTCTTGGACTCTGTATATATTTTCAAGTCATGGTGGTGTGGTGGGGCCCCCCACCAAATATTAATCAGCTTTAGAATCTTCCCAAAACAGCTCCACGCATGCACACAGAGGATGTGATATGGGCTGTTTTAAATGGGCTGTTTTTTTCCCATCAGGGACTGATTTCAACTGGCCTAATACAGTGAAGGAGACCCAGAGGCTAGGAAACCTTATTGGCCCCCTGTTGTAATTTTCAATGACTAGGGAGGATAGGAGCTGTGGTCAAAAACATCTAGAGGGCAACACACTCAGTAGGGCTGCTTCTCTGTTCATCACCAGTCAGGGAATAACAACAGAGCAATGATGGCATTTATGAAGCGTGCTGAAAATTTTCCAATACAGCTGCACATAAGGACTCTACAAAGACTTAAATGCTTGATTCCATTCACTGTTTGGCAAGAAGACCTAGATCTTCCTTCATTCCTTTTGCAAAATAATGGATAGAAGGCTGCATACATGAGTGAGCAAAACTGCAAAGATTTCCCAGATGAAGACAAATGCCAGAATAGAATAGAAACTCCTGTAACAGAGTGAAAACCCAATTTTGCTATGCCTTTTCTCCCCCTATTTCTCCAGAATTTGTAATGTTTTCATCATTTATCTAGAGTGCCAAATTTGCTTATGATCATCCAATGCAGGATAGGAGGAATGGAAAAGGAAATCTTTACCTCCCTGTCCTTTTGCCCAGCATTTATCATTAGACTTGCTTTTTCGATCAACTAGTAAAGATGTTTTGGAGGGGAGGAAATGAGGCAGGAGAGGTTTTCAGATAGCTTGTATCCTGGCATCTCCAGACTCCTCCACTCCCTGCCCACTGAAACCTTCTTTGCCCCTTGCTGTGTTCAAGTTTCTGACCTTGGAGGTCAGCTGGATGGTTCTTTCTGCAGCAGCTGTGAGGAGGAGGGAAGACCGACCTTCAACTCCTCCTTCCAAAATCATAGTGCTCCTCTGATATTTGATGGGGCATAGGATTGCTCCCTACATTACATGTCATTTTAAAAATCCAATTACTGACTTAATTCACCAACTGTTAAAACAGAAGCCAACTTTAGCGAAAGATGAATTGCCCATACTTCCTCTTACCAAGTCACATTGTTCTAGTAGGACCCATTATCTTACATGTATGTGAGGTGGGTTGAAGTCCATATTATATACTCTCCCACTAGCTGGATGAATCCAACGTGCACTTAGGCGGTCTTTTAGAGTCTCAAATGGGATGTTCAAACTTATCACTAGATCCAGCTCACATATTCTGTCAAGTGCTTCAGCTTGACCCAGTGTTCTTGGAAAACCTATATTAAAAAAGTAAACCTTTACAAATGTTTGGAATATTATTAAGAAAAGAGCCCATTTTTATAACTACAGATTTGAAAAAGAATTAAGTACCCTAGTTTATAGAACTGCCATAGGTTTCAGAAACATAGCCAGCTGCTAGTGGTCTGTTCTGACAGATGATTCCCATGCCATAATGCACAAATTTCTGAATAAATATACAACTATTATCAGCTTAAATGATGTTACTTTAGCCATATTGGTCTGAACAGTAGAAAATGCAAAGAAATATACATTTCCAAACATAAACCACTACTTTTCCTATCCTCACATCTAATGCAAAAAAAATTGTATATAAAAGCAGTCATGTCAGATCAGATGAAAGGGCCATCTAGTCCACCACCCTGTTTCCCATAAGAGACAACCAGATGCCTGTGGGAAGCCCACAAGTAGGATTAGGAGGAAAGTAGCTGTTGTCCTAGCAGGTGGATTAAGAGGCATGCTATACTTAGTGCCTGGAAAAGACTTTAGGTGGGAATCATCTGCATCCTAACAGGATGCAGTTTTCCATATTACATATAAATAGTCTTGTACTGAATGTACATATACAGTACATGGTGATAAGGCTAGACTGCAATACTTCAAAATTGCAGTTGGGATTAATCAGTATGTTTCTGCATCTTACACACCAGAAACCATTTCAAGTAAGAAACTAGTACATCAGGGAAAAAGATTCTAGACTAGTCCACTCTCTGCATTATATTACTCCTTGGAGATAGTTTCTCTGTATGGAATATTATAAGTGTGGTTTCCATTTTTGAATCAAAAAATCCATTTTTGATTTCCACTTAAGTCTGAAAATCACACTTAAGTTTCACTTAATCCAATAGCAAATATTTGTTGGTAGACATTTATAGCATTGCATTATAAATAATAAAAGGAGAAGAATAGAAACGCTAGGTAATCTTCACTGCTCTAAACTGTCTATATTAGAACTGAGCAGCCTTCAATAACCTTCAAAAATCTAGGACTATTGAGTCTTGCTTTGAACATAATGGGGCCCCAATTTCATTTCTGAAAAAAACCAAAAGAAAGACCAGAACTCAGTGGTAGAGCATATGCTCTGCAAACAGAAGGTTCAGTTCAATCTTTGGTACCACTAGACAAGACTGTGGAAGATCCTTCTAGGAGTTGCCACCAGCCAATACTTAGGCAGTACTAAGCTACATGGACCACTCAGTACAAAGTACAGTCCTAGGTTTTTGCTTACCATAATTTTACCCAGATTAGATTGGCCCAGAACTCCTCCAGCTTATTTCCACGAAGTGGAAAACAATTATATTTGGTCTTAACATTTTCCTAGTTAATTTAAAAGTATTTTACATGTTTCATTTACAACACATTGGCTAGTAGGCACTGGCTGGCCTGCAACAGGACAAGTTAAGAGACCCTGTTGTGACCACAGAAAAGTCCTTCTTTCCACGTTCTTATAAAAGACCTTCTTTCTGCACCAGCTGCAGTTCTTAAGATGGAAGAGCATTTGTGGGGCAGGGAGAGGAGTAGCAAGACACCAATATTCTATGAAGTTTCCATGCAATGCCTTAGTCCATCCCCGAGGGACAAAAAACCTAGCCAAAATCAGCCATCTCTATCTTTTGCAGTGTGGGGAAGCAATGATTCAATATTCACCATCGTACCTCTGCTCTTGCTATGATGCCTGTAACCCTCCAAGTTTGCAGGATTACAGGTAGCTAGACTGGATGGTTCTCTAAGTAATTTCATGTGTGAATATAAGTCAGGCAGGTACACTTGTAAGGAAAGTCACTGACTGCTGCTTCAAGTCTGTATTTTCATTAATTGTTTCATTAAATAAAGGCAAAGGCATACCAATTTAGGATTGAATCAAGATGGCAAGTTAGAAAATTTACTGAAAGAACTGCAGTGATACAATAGGTAAAAGTACAAAGAACACTGAATGGCACCCCTCCCCGCCCCCATATAAATATACAGTGCTTTCCTTTTCTTCCATTAACCTTCACTACATCTATACATTTTATTTATTTAAAGTATTTATATGCCATCCTGTTGCGAAAGCCTCCGATAAATAAAATACAATAAAATATAACATAAATAAAATTATCGACCCACACTGGCTGCAATAAAAACATATAGGACATGATATTAAAACTTATTAAAATATTGCTGAAATAAAAAGGTCTTAACCTGGCGCCAAAACACATACAATGATGGCGCCAGGCGGACCTCTCTGGGGAGCGCATTCTATAGGCGGGGCGCCACCACAGAGAAAGCCCTCCTCTGGGTACTTTGCCTCCTAAAATCTTTTACAGAGGGTTCCCAGAGGAGGGCCTCTGCTGCCGATCTCAGGAGGCAGGAGGGCAAATATGGAAGAAGGTGTTCCTTTAGGTATCCAGGTCCCAAGCCATTAAGGGCTTAATAGGTAATGACCAGCACCTTGAATTGAGACCAGGCTTCGATGGGAAGCCAGTAAAGCTGTTAGAGGACTGGGGTTATATGAGAACAACGCCCAGTCCCCGTCAGCAACCTGGCCATTCTGTTTTGCACCATCTGAAGTATCCAAACTGTCTTCAAGGACAGCCCCACATAGAGCACGTTGCAGAAATCCAACCGGGAAGTAACCAATGCATGTGTCACTGTCACTAGGCAATCTTCCTCCAGGTAGGGATGCAGCTGATGGATTAGCTGAAGCTGAAGGAAAGAGCTCCCCGCCACCGCAGTCACTTGAGCTTCCAAGGACAGTTCTGGGTTGAGGAGCACTCCCAAGCTGCGGACCCTTTCCTTTAGAGGGAGTGCAAGCCCGTCCAGGGCTTTAAAACAGTATAAAGCACTGTAAGAGAGGCTAAACTTTAGTTCATATTATTCATGAGGAAACAGCATGCTCTTTCACAGAAATACTACAAGCCATATACATTAGCACATGGGACTCATGCAAACACTGGTTTCTTCATGTAGCAGGACAGAACATTCTAGAACCTTGGTAATAAACTATTTCCCAGTCCACAAACTGTAGTATTACAGGAATTACACATTTATTCAAGCCACTGGCAGTTTCAGTTCCATGCAAACCACCTCTTTCATATTGCTGTGCTAAAGCTCTGTAATTCAGGATGTATGCATTTTTTTTTTTAATTTTTAGGAGAGGAGGCAAATACTCAGTAAACCATATGCATGTTAAAATGAGCATTCCGTGTTTGTATAAATGCTGGTCATGCACATAGCTTCCTCTTGAGTTAACACTTATAACTCTTGCACTTGTCCTGTCAGATCCTTCTAGGAACACTTTTGGCATCTAACATATAAACAGAAAATATCACAAGCATATCTCCTTCTTCCTGGCAACAATATTAAAAAGCTAATCATTTGCTACCATTTCATGACATTTCAGTTTTAGTCAGTTGCTTCTGCTGGTGTTCCAGAAATGAGAAGAGGCTTCAAGAGAGTTCATTACTAGCTTGGTATCCTGGATACCAAACCTGCTAGCTGAGTGGCTTCTGTTAAGACTGGGGTTAGCAATCCGGTACTTACAGATGCCACTGAGCTCCCAGTCCCTGTCAAAGTTACTGCCAAAATACCTGATCCCCCACCCCCCAACACACACACACACTTTTATTTTATTTGAAATGTTTTTTCCTCCCTTGACACCCATTTTGTGACAGTCAACATAACACTTAATATTCAAAGTCAAGAGCCCTGTGTTACACTAAGAACAGATAGGCAACAATTTTTTTCTTCCCTACTAGATTGGATTGTAAAGTAATGGTTTCTGAAATAATTGATTCCAACAATTCTCCATATCAACTATTTCAAATGTTATACCTTTATTGTAAGACTGACCCAAGACCTCGGTAGTGGACAGTATATAAGTGTTGTAAACAAACAAACAAGCAGACAGACGGACCTGAAATTTCATTTTTCAATTTGCAGTAAGTAATAACAGACAGTGAACCTGCGAAGGTGAAAATTAAGTGTTGTATCAGATTTTATAAAACAAGCTTGCTCATCATAAGCATTATTTACATTAAATACATTACTGTTTCATTCCAAAAGATAAAACCTAATAGCCTCCACAATTTGTGATCCATAACCCAGACAACCTGTCAGAAGAGGTTCTGTAGTCCAAAGGCAGGGAAGAAGCACTTTCCACAATTTTTCACACACAAAGCATGGATATATTAAATACCTCATAACAAAGACCCTTTAAAAATGTTTTCTCAAAATAGGTTTTTTGATCTGATTGGCTTCTGGGCCTATCCAACCCTATCCAATTTAATGAGCCAACGAGCAAGTTTATTCACAGATAACACCCAGGACAAGGGACAGAAAATAACGCCCTTTCAACCTTCAGTAATTATGGATGACAAGTTAGATTTGTCTCCTCATAGTTGTTTCAGCTGTAATCTGTCAGGACTGTACCAATGTTCTTAAGTAGACAAAACCAGAAGTTCATCTTAATGCCTATTCTTAACTGGGGCTTATTTTTGGGGTAGGGCTTATATTACAAGCATCCTGAAAAATCATGCTAGGGTTTATTTTCTGGTGAGGTCTTATTTTAGGGAAACAGGGTATAATGTAACTGGAAATGTCAGAAAGCTCCATCTTCACTCAACCAGGTGTGCACAGATTTTCCTACCACCTCCAAATGGATTGTGGTTATTATAAAAGTTAGCTGGTGATATGAGAAGCAAAAAGACCCTTGGACAGTAACTTTCACTATTTTTCAAGCAGGAGTAAATAAATGAAAAATGCCTCTGTGACACCAGTGAACTATGCAATTAGTATAAAATGTAATTTAGTTCTCTATAAGCAATCACAAAGGGCATTTTTTCAAGTATACAGAGAGGTATAGCTATCCTTTTCTTCCTTCTTTTTGGACTTTTGTCTCCTCCTCCCCGCCTCTTCCCTTTGTTATGGAGTCAGGGCTCAGAAATCCAGTCAGTCAACTGTTCCCATGGCAGTCTCAAATTATCTGCATGCACAGAAACCTGCTTGATATGCATATGAACACACACACACCCCTCTATATAGAGCCACTCTTGTAAATAAATAAATTAGCAAAAGTGAGCTTTGCCTCTCATTGTTCATAGCACACAGATGAAAGTGCTCTATACTGATTTCTCTTGACTCTGTTCCTTCCCTCCCACCTACCAGTTGCTATTTGCCATATATTTCAGCAATACAAAGAAAGCACAATGTTCCATGTAACAAAAGACAACCAAGGAGTCTCACAGCTTGGTCAAAAGGAATCATGCGAAGATACGAAGTGGGCACTAAGCCCATCTTTCACTAAGCTAAAGTAGTGGTGTGTAAAGCATAGCCCTCTCTGGCAAGTTCTATTAGCCATAGCCAGTATAGCCCATGTGAGAGGTGATGCTAGAACATCTGAATAGACACACATTCCCCACCCTAACAGTACAGAGGAGTGATGGTAGTTGCAGCATCTCAAGGGCCACATGTTCCTTATCCCTGAGCTAAAGGCTGTTTGTCCCCCCCCCCCACCCCCATTACTACTCTCTAACAAGCACAACTCAGTCTTAAACAGTTTGAGCCCTGCTTTTCTAAAGAACAATTTTCTCTAACATGAACCTGCTCATATAACCAATATAGCCTCCAGAGGCCCACTTCTGGTATGCCTGCCTTCTGAAGAAAAGTGATTGCTGGTAATGGTCCCTGTCTGTAGAATGCCTATCCTGGGTATTTTACCTATGTTGCCTTTTATATCCTTTAAACATCCAGGGAAAAGGCCTTTATAATTCCTCTGGCTTTTTAACTTGGCATTTTACTGTGCTTTTTTAATGCTGACTTCTATCTCCTGATTTTATTGTTTTGTTATTGATTTTGCCCTCTATTTATTATTTTGTTTCTAAGGTATGCTGCAAGTATTTACACTAAAGAATGGCACTCTAATCTACAAAATTCATCCTGCTTATTTCCTAAAACATGAGACGAAGTGAAGATAAGAACTCCAAAACAAGTCCTCTTGAATCAAAAATTGAAAAATGGGTAAGTATTCTAACGAAACAATAGAATTCAATTATAGGTAAATGGGAATCAAACAAGTTTTGCAAAAGCTTGGAAATCCATTCATTCTGATATTATTAATTCATTCCACAGAATGATTCCATAATGATATCAGATTCCACAATGATATCAGAAGCACTGTATGTATCATTATTCTTGATGCAATTAAGGTATGTGATTGCTTAAAAATGTTAAATGGGAGGGAGGTGCATTTATCAGATGAATCAATATATTTTACACTAGCCCAGGTGTTTCAATATTTGTGAATCAGGTGCATTTTGTCTTCACAGGGGAATTAAACATGGTTGTCCTTTGTCACCATTTTTGTTTGTACTTTCCATAGAGCCTATGACCACAAAAATCAAAGAAGTCAGGGAAGGAAATGAAGAATTTAAATTAAATTTATATGCAGACAACATAGCATTATTAGTACATAATCCAGGGAAAATATTTGCAAAACGTTTACAATTACTTGAAAAGTTCTGTTTTATTTTTGGCATAAATATATCTATTCAAGATCAGAGAAGCTAGCAGTTAAAATGGACAGAGTAGATGGAGAGAAAGAAAGAAGCATTTATTCCTCTGAAGAGTTATTCCAGTTCAGTATGCTTGCCGGAGAATGCTTTTTTTAATAGAACTTCTGTCTAAACTTACACAAGGATTATGCTCTAAATAAACAAAAATACTCCAACAGAGTCTTGGATACCAAGCAGTACTAAAACGAATGATCCTTGTATTAATACCATTGTGATAAGCTTTGGGAGACTAGCCCTAAATATGAATAGATGGGTACAGTGAATCAATGCTATAAACACAGAGTTTAAACACAGTCGGATACATTTGAGAACTTTTTAACTGTATTAATAATTTTGCAACATTAAATGTCTAACACTTGTCAATTATCCAAATGCTTCTGAACTAATTGGCTATAACACTGGAAGATGGGAGTACATTTATTCCCTATTGAGCAATTAAGATATGAACGAACGTGTGCAGCTTCTGTTCCGTCTCTACAGTGAACAAGATGATAGAGTTACATGATAAAAGGGTACAAACCTCTTGAAAAACCAAAGACATTTGGTCTATAGAATCACCGAGGGGGCCATGTTGAAGTATGTCACTCAGGTACAGGAAAAAGTCTTTTCAAAGTTCCTAAGCTGAATTAGAGGTGGAACTAGAATCCATTATTATGTAGGATAATATAGGAAACTATTTAGGGGGTTATCTACCTCTGATATTACTATCTTTCAGGAAAGAAGAGCATACTGGTTTTTCATGCTTCCCTATCAATATTTCAGCTTCAGGAAAAAAATGCTTGTTTGAATATAATTTTGTGCTGGTCTTGCTAATATTGTTTAACTGTAACAATAATAGCCAGTTGCCAGCTGCAGGAAGTACCCGTGAGGCAAAATGAAAGTTAGTGGAGGAGTATCTCAACTCAGTAATCCAGAGTTGCTTGGGCAACTAACTGTACTGTGTCAAGATGGCTTCAGCTGTTGTCACCTTTCTTCTACTTCTCAGTAAATGCAGCTTTGTGACAGGAAGCCATATTTTTACCACACCTGTACTTAGTATTCATAGCTGAGAAAGGTCCACCTATGAATTTTCTGTCCTTAGAAACTCTCAGGATATTTTTACCTGCCTTTCTAGCTTGTTGCCAGTTGCTAAAATACCAGAAAGACTCAGTATAATCTTCACTGTTTTCATGTTACAGTGCTCTTCCACAAATAATGTATTATATAAATCAAATTCAAAGGGTATGTAGAAGATGGAAAGGCAAAACTGTTTCTGCTAAAATTCATACATGAAAAAGAAAACCCTCTTACCATCAAGTAGCCAAGGCTGAGAGTGCATTTTGTCCAATTCTGTCATCATTACACGTGTGAATATATGATCTGGCACCAAAAGGCCTCTCTCCAGATACTGCTTTGCCAAAGTACCGACTTCTGTTCAGGAAAACACATACAAAATCTATTATCGTTTTGCTAAGACATCTATAATGTTCTGTGTATATTCTGATCGGGTTATCTCCTCCTGAACTGTTCCACCAATTCAAGAAAGAGAAGAGAATGCTGATTAGATGGAGAAATAGGATTGCCATAGAGCCCCTACACGACCTCAGAGCAAGCCCTCAAATATTTTTCCCTCTAGGAAACTTTATAGGAGAAAACAACAGGAAAAACTACTTGGTATTCCTATTTTGGTGCCTTTTGACACCACCAGCCAATATATGAATCATATCTCTCATCACATTAGCAAAGTTTCAATTCTCAACACAACCTGCAAAGTCCACTGAACCAAAATGGAATGAACTCTAGTCATCTTCTATCACCTGACTCAAGGCCACTTCTACTGACATGAAAAGGGAGGATTTTAAAGCACCATCCTTAAACTATGGAATTTGCTGCCACAGGAAGTAGTGTTGGGTACCAATCTGGATGGCTTTGAAAAGGGATTGGACAGATTAATGGAGAAAACTATAGTGGCTACTAGCCTTGCTGGCTATGTGCTACCTCCTTTACCGAAGGTGGAATACCTGCAAGCACCAGTTGCTGAGGAGCTTGGACAGAAGGAGGTATTGCACCCATCCTCCTTGATGGGCAGCCGGTTTTCCACTGTGTATGGACTGCTGGACTAGATGGACATTTGTTCTGATCCAGCATAGCTTTTATGTTCTTATGATACCTTGGAACAGGAATCTATTATCTGTAGCAAGTGAACAAATAATTAGAAAGTGACCTAGGAAAGAAGATTTGAAGGCAGCATTTGTGAAGGCTGGATTGAAGGCCTAAAAAAAGCACAGAGGCAGGGAAGAAGGGCAGGAAGATGAGGAAATAGTCCAGTAGCCAACAGTAGCAAAGGAAATTAGATGAAGCAGTGGGGCAATAACAACTGCAGAAACTAGGACAGCAGGAAATAAGGGGAAAGGAAGGGGCAACACTCAACTGCAGCTCATTTTATAGACACAGTTCCATGCAGCAGCGCACCATGAGGCATTTATCAAATGCTAAGTTTTCCTTAACAGCTTCTTACATGGTCACATCTACAACCTCAGCTATACCTTCAAAATTTTCCTTTGATTATTAAAAGAGCTAGCAGTATTTCCATTGTGATCCACTTACATGTTTACTCAGAACTAAGCTCCACTCTTTTCAGTAGGGGTTACAGGCTAGTATGTATGTTTAGGAAAGCAGCCTTTATCTCCAGGAGATAACTTGCTAAAGATTCATGTTAGAAGTTTCAGAGTAATTTTACATAAAATGGGATGGAGGGAAGAAAATAGCAAGGGAAACCATGACAGCTGCCTCACTAAATAAGCTAACAGAAAAAATAAAGCACTTTTCCAGGTATTCAAACAGCCTGGGCGTATATCATTATTTTTTCCATGTTATTTTTACTCTGAATAAAAACAAGTCTGTGTTTTAAAAAGGGTCTGGAACCTTACATTAGGTTGCAGAGATGGGGGGAATTAAAATCATTTTAAAAAGCACACAGATATTTCTTCCATCCAATTACATAGAAATCAACCAAAATGAGTATTAGTGATCTTAAGCCTTTTTCAATTAACTCTACAGATCTCTGAAAAACTAAAGGAACATTGAGAATATTTTTTTCCAGATTTTTGACAGATACACAGATCAAAATGTATTTAAAAGTATTTTAAGGCAAGTGTGATGACACCAAAAGCTGACACTCCTTAATTTATATTCTTTTTTATTTCAATTATAAAGGTACATTTTAAACCATATAAAATATATGCTGGTCTTTGAAAGTTTTAAAAAACTGAACTGAACCATATAAAATTAAGAGTAAATCTCTTGGCATTTTCCAGCAGCAGCCAGATAGTTTGATAAATGAAACTGGACCTCTGAAAACAAAACAAAAGCAATAGATCAGATTCCTGTAGGCCTTTATTTTACTTCAGCCTTCCAAGTCAGGGCTTTTATCTGAAACAGCTTTTTCTGCTGAACTAAAATTGTGACTAGGAAAAAGAATATTAAAAGTCATCCTACAGTTTCAGATCCATCTTTTTCCCCTGTACAGAGCACTCCCTTCATGTTCACTTTGGGCAGGGTCCTTGCTTCCTTCTTTAAAGAGCTGTATGACAGACTACACTAAATAGCTATCAGGCAATGCCTTTCTATATGGCATGGCCTATTGAATTCCTACAATTCATTTTCCCACACAACTTCAGCAATAATATCCAAGGCCAGTCAAGTCATTTTTGTTACTGGTGCAAGCAAATAAATTTTTAAAAAATCTCACAAGCACCTCCCCCTTTTTCTAGCAATATAAATAAATACTGTATTATACAATCAACAACAAATTGCTGCCCTTTCATTACACTAAAGATCAGATATCCAAGATGGGTGCTTCATTTTTGCTCATCTTAGAGCTGGCCCTGTGAGCTTCTACTATGCTGGTCCTACCAATGAACCATCTCCTACCATACACTGTTCTTCTGGATACTCACTAGCTTACTGACCCAGTAACCACACAATTAAAGGGGAACTGTGATGGGATGTAGAGGAATGTTAAATACAGATGTCAGATACAAGTAATAGGTAAGGTATGCCTACGTACACCCATTGCTGAGGAAAGTGAGTGGAAGGGTGCTAGTGAATTTATATCTCACTTAAGAGCTTCCTAAAAGTGAACCAGTTGTCATTGCATGAAGATGCTGAAACTGGTGGACTCCTGGTCTGATCCAGAATGGCTCAGATGTATTGTGTAGCCCCATCTTATCCAATGTACACACTGCTAGTACAGTGGCAATCTAGTTGGTTGGTCCAGAAAGGCATGTTCTTACCTGCAACTGTAGTTCGAGTGGCCATCAGTGCATTCACACATATGGGCTCTGTGTGTATGCATGGAGCTCAGTCAGAACGATTCCAAAGCTGACTATTTGGTGGGAGCCCCTCCTGCAAGGCACATCCAGCATGAGCGGAGAGGCTCCCACTGAGACTTCAGTTCAAATGAATTGACCACCATCATAAGGGGCAAAAGAGGAGTATATCCCATATGTATCAAGCATATGTGTATGCTTACACTAGTGACATTCAGAAAGAAACTGGACAGCCCTCTGAGTAGGATGGTGTAACATGGTGTCCTGCAATAGCAGGGGGTCGGACTCAATGACCTTCATGGTCCCTTCCAACTCTACTATTCTATGATTCTATGAACACTCAAAGAACAACAGTTATGGGTAGACAACCCACTTTTCTTCATTGTAGTCTCTGTACATCACACATGTGGATGACTAGCAAGCTTACCTCTTTGAAGGAGGGTGGTATTGCTCTGCATAGAAGAAAAGAGAGGGCAGCCCTCTAGCAGTTGCAGTCTACTCTAGCACTTTAGCTCGAACACGCAGCTAATAATGGCAAATGAAGGTCAAGGGATTCAACCAGATTGCGGCTTGACAGAGTCAGAGACACTCTGGCATACATGGCTGTGGAGGTTTTTGGTGGACTATACAAGGGTTGGGCAAACAAGTTGGAAACCAGAGAGATCATATGCTAGGTGGCTTGTGTGAGATATCCACTTATCAAGTCTCTGTAAGGAAATAGGTGAGCCTTGAGATGTGCCACCATAGGCAAAAGAAAGTCTTCGTGACTTACAGATAGGCTGTGTTTTGGACTTATAAAACGCTAGAGCCCTGTGAATGTCTAAAGAGGGGAGGGGTAGTTCAACAGGGTTGGAAAGCGACTGGCAGAAGGCTGGAAGTATGATAGGTTTGATAATGTGAAAGGCAGAGAAACATTTCAGTAGGAAGGTGGGACTGGAGAGAAGTTCCATCTTATCTTTGAGGAAAGTGAGATAAGATGGATTGATCCCAAGCTCAACAAGCAGAGGTGATAGCTACCAAAAACCCCATTTTTAATTAAATGAAATGTTGGGCTGTGGAAGCCATGGGTTTGAAGGGTTTCTGTGTAAGCGCATGAAGGATGACAGAAAGATCCATGCTGGGATGGGTTGCGAGACTGGTGGGGCAAGATTAAAAACTTCTGCATCCCCCACTGATCCTTTGCCCACACGAGCTCTGGAGCAGAAAAAAGTCACAAGCGGTATTGTCCTTCATGGTGAACAACTCTATGTAGGGGTGACCCCATCATTTCCACAGGGAGTGCAGTATGGTGCAGTGAAGTTCCCACTCATGGCACCGTGTCAAAGTGCAACTCAGAGTTTCTGCAAGGATTTTGTTGGTCCCTGTGACATGGTTTGCTAGAAGGATGGTGCACTGGGCAGCACATCATCTCCATATTTTGGTGGCAAGAGCAAGAAGAGCAGATCTTGTTCTACCTTGTTTGTTTATACAACAACTGTGATATTGTCTGTAATAATTTGGACATGTATTTTCTGGGTTAGAGTGTAGAAAGTTCAGAAAGCTTTTTGTACTGAAAAGAGCTCAATAAATTTTATATAGCAGGAGTTCTTGTGTAGGCCCCATTTTCTCTGGATCTTGGAGGGACCACAATGAGCTCCCCATCTGGAAAGTGAGCCATCTGTTGTAATAGCCAAGATTGGTTCCAGAGGAGTGAATGTGACTCCAACTATAAAGTTGGCTATCTGGGTCCATCACTTGAGGTCTGTTCAGATCAAAGGTGGGATTCAAAGATTGGTTGAGTGGGGTCCTGATGTCATACAAGGACAGGAGCTAGAGCTGAAGTGGTTACATGTGTAATCTGATGAGCGGAACAGCAGCAATTGAGGCAGCCATCAGGGCGTGATGTACCTTGGTGACAGAGGCTGAGCATTCCTCAATGTGATGGAGGATTTCTCTGGGGAGAGTAATCTGTCTGCAGACAGGAAGGCTCTTGTCATAACGGAGGCACAACTTGCCCTGATGAATTGGATAGTGTGTGGGAGAAAGACAGGATTTAGAGTAGTTTGCATATAGAATGAGTCTAATGAGGAAAGTGCATGTGAAATTGGTAGCTGTTATGGA